ACTGACAGCCACCGCTGTTGTTCCCATTTTCCCGGATCATGATCTCTTGCTGGCAAAGTTCCATGTTCCCAATGATGTGGCCTTCGAACGCCACTGGCAGATGCCCACCAAGCTGCCTTGGCATGCAGTCGACAAGCCGGCTCTTGAAGCCAAACTTGACACTTTAGAGGCCCCCAGCACCTCAGAGGACCCCACCACAGAGTTGAAACGATGGGCAAGACGTGTCGAGGCTTGTGTTCGGGATACGGTGACTGAGACCTTCACTTTCCCTAACAGCTGTTTTGGTAGATGCCAAGTTTTGCAACCCCGTTCGAGACCAGTTCATCATCGCATTCCAAAGCATTCCCGCGCCGGAGACTTTGTCATCGAAGATTCTTTGCTAGGGCGGGCCGCGCAGTTATGGTTTTACCAGCTCCGTCGCTTCGAGCATTTGCACAAATGTCTGGTCAAAGGTTCTGGTGCTGCTGAGGCCGTTCTTCAACGACAGCTTCTGTGGTCTAGCATTCTTCGTTCCAAGGGGTTCAGTAAGCGTTTCCATAGTTGGTGGATGACTCGACCACATCCTTTACAGGGTTCGCCTTGTTGCCTGCCCATCGAAATTCCTGATCTTGCCTCTTTTGTCTTGATCTTTGAAGACTATAAGGGTAACTACCAGAAGTTCATAGCTTGGCAACGGAATAAGAGACAGCGAGTCATCCAGGCCAAGTGGGAGGAAGCGCAGAGCTCTTTCTTCAAGGTCACCAAAAGATGCGCCAGGGGGCCTCTTGAGTCCTTGATTGATGTTTGTGAACAGCGCATTGAGGTTGTTGATGCCAGCATCCAGTTGATCAGGGTTGCTCATCCCTTCCCTGAAGCGGGCGCTTTGAAATGGACCCTTGAAGGGGTTGATGCAGTGGTTACCCCAGCCGCCGACGGCTACATCGTGGAGTCAGACCTTCTGTTGATTGACGGCCAACGCCTGTCTTGCAAGGTCCTTGTTGATGAGATTGCAGTGATTCACGATCGCCTTCTTCGACTTTGGAACGCCAGGTGGGGCAAGCATCTCAACGTCCCTGATGACCACTGGCATCGCATTGTTTCTTTTGCCGCCAATTTTTTGCCTCGAGGCCATTGCCCTTTGCCGGCCATAAGCTTTGACGTTTGGATTCAGGCCGTCAAATCCTTCAAGACTTTTGCCGCTCGGGGCACCGACGGTATAGCTAGGGAGGACCTCCTTTCCCTTCCTCGCAAAGCTTGTTTGGACTTGATCGAGTTTTTTCACAGAGCCGAACAGGGCCAAGGTTGGCCAGACCAATGGCTGAGGGCGCACATACATTGCCTGGCCAAAAAGGATGATGCTGAGGACGTCGGTTCTTACAGACCGATCACTCTTTTTTCCTTGGCCTACAGGGTATGGGCTGGCATAAGAGCAAAGCAAATTTTGAGTTTCTTGGGACTGTTTCGCTTCGAGCATCAGAGTGGTTTTCTTCCGCATGCAATGGCCTCAGATGTTTGGTTCTTTGTTCAGGCGGAGATAGAAACTGCCTATGCGACTGGCAGCCAGCGGTGTGGTCTCGTTGCTGACTTGGTCAAAGCGTATAACACCATTCCAAGACTCCCTGTCAAGTGTTTTCTGAACACTGTTGGAGCTCCTGAAGCATTGACAGCCTGTTGGCATGATTTCCTCGGAGGTTTGAAGAGATGCTTTGTGGTGCGTAACTCAGTGTCAGATTCTGCGCTTAGCTTCACTGGGTATCCCGAGGGCTGCCCTTTGTCATGCTGCGCCATGGTCTGCCTGGACATAGCATGGCATGCGTATCAGCAAAAGTTTGCACCTGTGGTGCAGCATTTCTCGTTCGTAGACAACCTCGAGCTTGTTGCTTCCGATGTCCGCAGCCTCATTCGAAGTTTCTGTGTGATGGAAGAGTTTAGTCGCATTTGCGACCTAGAGATTGATCGTCCTAAGTTGTACAGTTGGGCTACTAGTTCCACCAACAGAAGAGCTCTGGAGGCAGGTGGCTTTAGGATCCAACTTGAGGCAAGAGACCTTGGTGGCCAAGCCAATTACAGCGCCAAGTCCTTTGTGAAGACTATCACCGCCCGCATTGACGGCATTCAGAGCTGCTTTTCCGATCTGCGAAAGTCCACCCTTGACACGTGGGCGCGAGTACGTTGCCTGTCGAACGCGCTATGGCCCAGAGCGCTACATGGTTGCGAAAGCGTTCGTTTGGGCGAGGGACACTTCGCTAAGCTACGGTCAGGGGCCATGACCGCCTGCAGGTGGAATAGACCTGGCTCTTCGCCATGGGTGAGGATCGCATTGTTGAAAACAGAAATTCTTGACCCCGAATTTTTTCAACTGTGGCGTTCTTTGTGGCTTATTCGGCGCCAGTGTAGCACCAACCACAAACTCCGGGCACTTTGGGCTCTTTTCATGACTAGCGCACTGGCCTCTAAGGCCCAGGGCCCTTTCTCAAAGCTCGTGCATTTGCTCCATGACATTGGCTGGTCCATCAATGAGCATTTCTGTGTTGAGGTGCCGTATGGTTTTCAGTTTAATCTCTTGGAATGTAGCGAAGCTGAGCTCAAATGCCTGGCTGCCTACTTTTGGCGACAAAAGGCAGCAAAGCATGTCAAGGGGCGGCGGAGTCTCGCCGATCTTGATGGCTATGAGGCGGCCCATGCCGAACAGTTCGATCGATCCCTGTCTCGAAGTGACTGTGAACTTCTTTGCATAGTCCGTGACGGTGGTCATTTCACTAAAGACTGCATCTCTCACTTCAGCTCCGAGTCTGGGTTGTGTGACCTTTGCCAAGTAGAGGATAGCAGAGAGCACCGCTTCTTGACATGTCCCAGGTATGTTGGTGCACGTGAGCATTTTCCTGACCTGGCCTCAAAATGGTGGGCTTTAAAGGATTCCCTGGCGCTGCACGGCCTTACAAGTGCGAATCCGTTTAAGCCCTTGTACTGGCAGGCTCTTTTTGCTTTACAGAACTACGAAATTGAGTTCCGTTTCCCTCCTCCGGCATCCGATTGCTGGATGATCTTCACAGACGGCAGCGGAAGCAACCAGCAGAACAAAGAACTTGCTTTGAGTGCATGGGCGGTCATTTCCGCCGACGAGGATGACATCGTTTGCTCTGGCTGGACGCCAGGCCTCATTCAGAGTGTACCACGGGCGGAAACTTGGGCACTTCTTGCAGCCGTCCGTTGGGTCTCCAACGAAAAGGGAAATGCCCACATCTGGATCGATAACCAAGGTGTTGTTGAAGTTGGCAGAAGTCTGATTAGTGGATTTGACTTGCCAGACGAAGTCGAGAACGAAGACTTATGGAGGCAGGTTGAGCTGGAAGTTCACCATTGTGGCTGTAACCTCTGGCTGCACAAAACACCTAGTCATCTTCATCCAGACGACTGTTGCTCTGAGCTGGAAAGTTGGTGTGCGTTCTTCAACGACCGCGCAGATGCTGCTGCACGCTGGGCTAACGCAAACCGGCCTAGCTGGTTTGAGGGCATCTACCGGCGTTTCGCCGATCGATGGCACACTGATGACGAAACTTTTCGCCAAATCAGCAAGGTTCACCTCGAGATAGCTCGCACAGATACTTCATTCACTTCTGAGAGGAAGCCAGAGTTAGAGCCGGTTGACGAATTCGTTGTTTTTCGGGAGCGATCTGACTGCACTAATGCTTTTACCCTGGCTCAACTAGATAGGATTCCGGGGTGGTTCGACTTGCTCCAGCCTCAGGAGGTCAGACATGATCTTCTGAAAGGCTTGCTTGATTTTGTTTGTGGCCTTGAGGGAGAGGGAGGATCAACTGGTTGGGTTTCTTTTATCGAGCTTGCGGTTGGTCTTAGGGCTTTCGTTGGTGCCGATTTGGTTAGTTTTGGTTCACGTGATTCCCCCAATCCTTGGTTGCAGGTCACTTTTGCATCCGAGCTTCAGCTCCTTAAAAAAGCCTGGCGCATCCTGTGCCGGCTGCTGTGTATAGATTTTTCTGTTGAATGGGTCGATTTGACGAGGGTTCGTATTCATAGTGGCTGTGGCGCTGTGCGAGTGGCTTGGCCTGAGAGGGTTGAGATTTCGGTTTTGTCGGTTCTTGATGCCTTCACTCGGCATCGACCCATTGTGAACAGTCAGGGACTTGCCAGGCCGATGGGACTGGCTTAGGTGTTCTGGGCACTCCTATGGATGCTCTCTCCGCCGCGCTCAGCCGCGGAAGACGCTTGCCCGAACATCTGTCCGCGTATGTTTGTTCAAAAGAAGTAACAAGAAGTAATAAGATGTAACAAGATGCATTACGAATGTTGGTGTGTTCATGTTGTGTTCCGATGCTGGGCTCTGTAGGGCATACTGCTCGCAGAGACATGTCAGCCTCTGGGTGTGACCACCAAAAGCTTCCATTGGCGAGAACTCCGGCACCGGCCAAGTATTCAGCTTGCCTTGAGGGAGTGCGAAAAGAGCTGCAACTGGTCAAATTGGCTTAACTAGTCTCTCTTCTGTTCTTGCAGTTTCTTCTATTTTGCTTGTTGTATCTGCAATGGTTCGTTAGCTACTCAAACAAAAGAGAAAACAAGTCCCAGCGATTCCCAGCTAGCGACTCCCAGGTGATGAAAGCATTGCGTAATCTTTCCCTTACTAACGTTGAGATACACTTGTCCGATCTTTTATGCATTTGGCTCTTCGCGAAAGCATTGAGGCCAATGCGATGCATAGAAAAGGCAAAGACTCATGCGAGGCTCCGCCGTGCTCTCTGGTGGAACTGCATGCCTCAGAAGCACTGCATGATACATCTGTTTGCTTCCACAAGAAATAAGACATAGGCAATCCCACTCGCGGCTCTTCACTAGACCCTTGCACCAGCGCTGACACAACCTGAAAGGTCTGTGGCATCCCGGCTCTTCACCGAAGAGCGGGAGACAGTCTCCGTGACGCATCGTCAGTGTTTGTCCCTCCACCTGCCGAGGACGCCGATCCCGAACCAGCGCGTATCCGCCCGTGCCGCACGAACAGGGCCGTCCTCGATGGTCCGAGCGGCTCCCAAGGACAAGCACACCTGGCAAGGTCAGGGGTCGGTGGTCAATTCAGTGAATAGATCGCGAAAATCCAGCATTGATGTGAGCTTTCTTGCCATGGTGTTTTCTCTTAATCATGTTTTGTAATCGATGTTCAACCCCTGACGACATGTTGTTCCTGATAACAACATGTGTTCTCTTTCTTATCTGAACTTCACGACATGCTAAGCATGACGTTCAACCCCGCCCGTCCTGACGGCACCGATGACGATGCGACCGGACTCTGCTTCCTCCTCTCGGCCGTGAACGCCGAAGAGGCGCATCATGCATGGCATGGTCTGCATGGTCAATGAGGACCCCCCCCCTTAGCCCCGACTGAGAGGAGATGGTGACTGAATCATCTGAATCCGAAAGAGCACAGTGACAGCACCCCTCCGTGTTTTGCACCACGAAAACTATCACAACCTTATCAGCTGTTGAGCAAGACACCATCAGGGTAGTAGTTCACGATGAGCTGGATAAGGGCTAGCTCCTGCACATTCCCTACACACAACAATGGAAGACCTTGTATATATATCGAATTCCAATTCCCTGGTGCCTCATCTGGCATTGTTCTCCTTGCAATGCCAACGAGCACCTTGACCTTAGGAAGCTTGGTTTTTCCCAAAACCAGTCATATCACTGATCAAAGTCTTCCAAAGGCATCCGCAGCTGCTTCCAGTGCAGTCCAGGGAGGCCACAAGACCAAGGACTGGCCCTGCAATCCGAGAAACCGAAGCCAGACATCACCAAGCATCACCAAACCCCTTTTCGTCACAACTTCTCACATTCTCAGCAAGCTTGAAAAAAACAAACACTGATTCTGATGATATCTGATGATCCTCACGGCACCGGGAGGGATCAACGAAACAAAACATATATTAAAGAAACAAACAAAGGAAACAAAGGAAACATCCAATTTCTTCCACACCCAAAAAATGAAAAAAAACGGTGTCCATCCAGCGGAACGTGAGCTGATTCGTCGCCTCTTCGGACTTGAAGTCAAGCCTTGGGACGGTCGTCAGACGCGACGGTGGCTGTCGAACTAACCCAGCAGCAACGGTCATGGCAACCAAAGAAAGAAACACATCATTGGTTCATGTGGGTCTGTGGTGATACGTGGGCAATGGTTCTTCAGCTCTTTACAATCAAACCAACATCACCAAATCAACAGCCGGAAATCGGCATCTCTGGGCATCGGGGCATCGCTCTGCCGGCCCACCAGCGAAAGTCCGGCTGCGAACTGCCCAGTTTCAAGATCGACTCCAGCTGCGCCTCCCCCGAAGCGTCCGGACTCCGAGCTCCGAGCTCCGGGTTCCCCGGCCACCGGAGCGTGTTCATTCCAAAGCCCGGCCCGGTGAGGGCGGAAATCAAGGTTGGTGGTGGCCGCATGCTTCACCAGGAAAGACCCGGCTGAGCGTTTCTGTGTTTTGGTTCGGCAGAAATCGGAAGTTCGGATCGAATTCGATGTGACCTCTGTCAAGTAGGACTCCTCCAGAATGTTCAATACCTTTCCGAAGCCGACCTGAAGTTGGTCGCAACATGCTGCCAATGCAGTTTTATGACGCAAAGAGCTCAAGCCCCAACTTCAACAGCCCCATCAGGACTGGTATGTCGTGTCTTGGCTCTTGTGCAAAGTGTCATAGTCATAGTCTTTTCTGGCACCATCCAATCTGCGTGACAATGAAATTCAACATAATTCAACTATGCCAAATCAAATGGACCAGCGAGGCCACTCGATTGCTCGCAAGAGCGATGGAAGAGATCAGCCACCACTGTTCGAAGCTACATCATGCTACATCTACATTGATTTCTACATGACATGTGCTAATGACATGTCCTATGTACAGGGGCTCGAGCGGACTTGGTGAGGACATCTGAGTGACCTGGCCCTCATCGAAAGCGGTGAGGCCCAGAAGCGCAGCCTTCACTAATGAGATCCTCCGCGCCACAGCAAGCCCATCGACACGGAATGTGCCCGATGATGCAAATGCGCAAATTCCCCGGACCCGGTCGGGCTCCCAAGCCTTCGGCCCAATGCCCTTTGGAGCCCCAACCTTTGAAACCAAGGCCTTTGGCCCAATAGCCACCGCCACGATAGACCCGAGCACTTCGTTGGATGGCTGCATTTCCCCCCAGGCTTCGCCAAGCTGCACGTGCATAGCTTTGGAGTTGCTGCAGCTCAACTCGGGTCCAGTTCCAGTCGTCCGGCCGCAGGGGCAACCAATCGCCAGGATGAATCACACAGCCTTCGGAGTCTTCGTTCCCTTCACAAAGTTCACCACAAGCCAAGCAGCGCCGGGCCGCCAGCGCCGCCGGTCGTCCCGACCGGTCCCGCTCCCACTTCCGCTGCTTTTGCCACCGTCGGGCAAAGAGCATCTTCCAATCGATGGCCACGGGAGTGGGAAGGCCCTCCGTTTCATCCGGAGTTTCATCTGCCTGAGCATCTGTGGGAAGATTGGAGAGAAGAGGGCACCCCAGTGGATTTGCACAAACCGACGAGTACATGGATGGAAAGTGCAAGGTGCACAGCTTTTGCCACAAGCTGCTCTCTCGAGTGAGATTTCCCCAAAGTGCCTTGGATGCCTTTTCACAATGGCAAACTTCAAGAACATCGAGGCAAGTCAATGCCCTCAACCACAACTCCGCAGGCAGTGGCAAGTCTCTGTCCAGCTCAAAGTCTCTGTCGAGTGCCCATGCGATCGAAGCTCGCGTCGGGGCGATCAGGGGAGAGAAGGAGCTCCCTCCCACCGCCTTCTTTGAGGTTCGGTGCTCTCGGTGTGGCACGACATCCCGCGCGCGGCCCTTCTTGTGAGGCATCGGGCTCGAGCGCCACGGCGAGCCGAAAGAACTGGCACTGCATGACACGACTTGACAAGGAGTCTCATACTGTTCCAAGTGATGTCATGATGCGCTGCTTGGTCTTAACAAGTCTGAACAGGTGTCAAGTGACCTTCAAAACCATTCTACAGTAAACCTTCTTTCAAAATCCTCCGAGCTGCCTTCCCACTCTGAAGCTCACTGAGGTCGCGACCTCTAATCTGTGCTTGAACAGCTTCTCGACCTTGCCTCAAGGATGAACCCTTTCAAACAGTATCATGATCCTATCATTCGCTGGCAAAAAGCATGCAGCATGCATGAGAAGACGACATATGTTCAAGTTCTTCCGCTCACCCAAGAGCCCACTGGATCCTACTGAGTTTGATCCCATCCATTCCACCATGTCTTGCCTGAACTAGCAGTCACAGCAGGAAGCTCCTTGCACCTCAGGAAGCAGCTCCTATCGAGACACACCCTCTCAAGGAGAGCAATGGGCTCTAGTGATGGCCTCCGCCCTAAGAGTGATGGCCTCCAACCTAATAGCGATGGCCTCCAACCTGATAGCGATGGCCTCCATTAATTACTCATCTCACTCTTCATCAACCCTGGAAAAAGCTACCGGTGTCATACCTGACTCGTGTCCCCTGTGTTGGGGGGCATGTGACACTCGCCTCTTAGCCGTTCAAGGTATTTTCAAAGAGTTCCAAGCTCAGGGTTGCGCCGTTTCCAGTACGCCTTGATTTCCTTGCTTTGAGGGAACAGGCCCAATAATGTCACTGCTGCTTGGTCAAAGCAAAACGCTGAGACATTTCTTACAAAACGGAAGATTCTCCAATGGCTCAATCTAAACAAAGTGTTTGAGCCCCTTGAGCTTCTGACTCTTCTGGTATGGGTTCCGGAATAATAAGACAAAATCTCTTCCCAGCTATATGCATGCCTTGGCCAGAAAAGTTGAATTTGCGTCCATTCTTCTCAGTGACAGTGAACAGCAGGCATCTGAGGCTCCTTCCCGTCGGCAGGATCTATTCGGCGCTGTTCGCATGGCCCCATGAGTCTCCGCTGTGATCATGTCTGAAAGTCACTGTTCACACAGACAAGGTTGTCTGTCTTGGTGACAACTGCGAGTCATGTCCGTTCCTGGTTGTTGTGTTTGCCTACACTATCGCTGAACCAGAACAAATCACCAGCGTCGCCAGCGTGAGCCAAATGGGGCTCGCCAAGGGAAGAAAGAGATCTGAAATCTGAAATCGACCTTTGCACCACCGGACGGCAAGTCAGTCCGAATGGCTTGGTACACAAATTGAATTCTTCTTTTTGCTAAACAGGTCCCCAATCAGCCAGGAAGACGAGATGGCCATTCAATGCCTCGCGGCCTGACTTGAACATCTTGAAACTGTAGGTCTGAAGGGCTACTTTGGAAAAACTGAATCCATGATCGAACATCATCAGAGGTTGCAATTAGCACTATATAGTAGCAAGAAGTTACTAGTATTATATATATATATAGTAACGAAGGGCATCGCTATTAGAAGCAAGGACGCTACTAGTAGCTCCTGGCATTACTAGTAGTAGCAAGAAGCTACTAGTAGTTTCTTGTATAGGTTGAGTATGGTTGAGTGCTTTCCATGTATTTTATCCATGTGCTTTCCGATGTGCTATGGGCCCCCGCCAACCGATGGGCGGATCTGGGCGGTTGGGATTCTTCAACTGGCAGATCTGGTTTCTTCTGCGTTGCCACCGATCCAAAACAGCCAGGTGATATATGACGTCATGGCACCAGACCGTCGGTGTTTCCCTCTCTGGGAGGTCGGTGACCTGAACGTTGGTCGAGGTGTTTCACGGAGAGAAAGGCCTCGTAGTAGAGCGCGTTCCGCGCGGTGGGATGCCACCTCAGCTGTTGCCACCCCAATCGTCGCCATGAGCGGGTTTGACACCACGCTGGCGTCGGTCATAAGTTGCAAGCAAGCTTGAAGAGGATCTGAATGGAGGGACCGGCTTCTTCAAACCCCTCGGCCAGGACAAGGCCTAAAAAGGGAGGGCGGAGACGAAAAAAGATTGTCGCAAATGTTTAGAAAAAGATAGAAATAGATCATAATAGTAACTGTATGTAACTGTGAAAAGGTATGAAAACCAAAGGAATCTCTTGACTTAATTCAAGACAAACAATCTCATCATATCTCACCAAGCGAGAGGCTGAGGTGGTCATGGTGATCCTATAGATTCATATGATTCATTGACTGGGGGCGATCCTCGTCATCGCGGTAGGTTGGATCTACTCGACGGTGCGCTGCGAGTCTTCTGGCGCCTCCGATCGGGATGCTTTGCCATGCCTGCTCTCCACTGACCCAGCCAACTGCGGTTTTTGCCAACTCACCCAATTCAGTCACATGATCATTCAGGTGAACTGAACTTGCTGACTTCTTTCGCTTCCTTCGTAGGCTTTCTTGCGGCGCGCTACGGTGCACCACGGTGCCTTCCAATTCCGTCGGGACGAGGTTGTCCGGCTCCGAGTTGAAACCATTCGGCAAAGGCCAATGGATCCAATCCTCAGGCTACGCTGATCGGTGGTTTCTCCGCGAACATCAGCATCAGCCTCATCTGCCAGCTGTTTTTGCCGAAGCGGTCTCCAAGGCGCGGACCAGGATGGTCTGCAGGGGTCCAGTTTGATGCAAGAAACCACAAAATCAAGTGACGAAACACTTATTGAGGATATGTCTTTGATTTCCAAGCAGGATCTGAAGACTCGAGCACATCCAGCCTGCTTCACAGCTCCTCCCAGTCGGAGCAGCCAAGCGGAGACATCCTGCACAAAAGGGGTCCGGACAACTTCATCGGGTCTTCATGCTTCGTGTGGACAGGTTGCCGTTCTAACCCGACGAATACGACACCAAGGTCCGATTGCGAAAGCTTCGCGCTGCTGAGCCCTACTAAATGACTCTAACTCCAATGACGGTGGTCTCTATCGGCGAAGTGAGTCTCCGGCAGTCTCTATAAATGTCTATCACATCCGTCCTCCACCGGGTCAGCACTTGTCAGATCTGGATCTCAGCTCCAAAACGATTGCGACTTGCAGATCTGCATGGCCATCGCAGATCTGAAGTTCTGTCAAGTTCTGCCGTTTGTGCCGTTTCTGTCGTATGAAAATGGCTCCTTCTGGGGCCGCTGCACCCAACTCTGGACCGAAGCTCAACACCCTCGGGAAGCAAAACATCCATCACTCGGATCTAGGACCCGAACGCGTCGAGGACTGGGTCGAGACCACTGCGTCGCGAGGCGTGTGTGGCCAAGAAACTGAAGGGGCTGCCACAAAGCTGACATCCAAAGCGCGCAAGGCTCCAGGCATGGTGGTACCGTTGGCAAAAGCTCCAAGGGCCAAAGATTCTATACAATGCTCTTGTTGTTTGAATCCATTGGAATCCTACTAAAGCAAAACCATCTTTGCACTTGCAAGACTTGCGGACATGAGCATGGGAATCTTCTTTATGTTTCTACTGCATCTTACAGTGCTTGATGAGTGATGCAGTCATGCACGGCATCGATGATGTCTCCAACTGGAGCATTCTTCGCAGGAATGCACTGGGGCAGATTGCTCTTGATCTTCGGAAGAAAATGAACAGTCTCCTGGAGGATTGCACACCGAGCATCCTCCAATCGTAGTCCGAACAGTCTTAACCCTTCTGAAACCCTCTGCAGAATCCGCACGGCGCAGCACCCAATCGGTCGCAAACCGCGGGTTTTTGGTCGACGCTGCGTCAGGCTGTCGACTCATCCCCTGGATACCCCACTTCGTCCACGATCAGGTTCCCCACCTCACAGTGGTTCGGTGTGTATTTTTTTTGGGAGGGGCCGCTAGAAAGAAGAAGACAGACTTGAGCATGCTTCACAACACATCTTCCATCATCCTCTTGCTGCATCTTGGTGCCAAAGAGCAGAGAAAAAATGATAAAAAAGGATGAATAAAAACACTACATAGGGGACAATACAATGAAAAGACTCAAAAAGGGTAAACCCATCATCCAACTTCCTGCAGCTCAGTTCACGTAGTTCTCCATCGCATCATCTAGCTCTTCGATCGCCGACTGGACCAAGGCCATGGTAATGCCATCAGCCAGGAAGGGCCAAATCACCCAAGTCGCCGTGCGGCTGGGACTTTGGATCCCCGCCTCCCGAACGCAGGTTTGGGGCGGTGTCACGGCTGGATGGAGGAACGGTGGAGGAAGGGTGGAGGAAGGGTGGAGGAAGGGTGATGTTGGGGCGAACACACGGCCTCATCGTAGTGGACTCTGTGCAGGGCAGTGCAGGTGAGGGGACTCCGGTTCAGAGATGATAGTTGGTGTCTTTTCCTCTGTCTTTGGTGTCTTTCGGGTGGGTGGGTGGGTGGGAGGGTGTCATGTCACGATGATGAACGATGCGAAGATGCAAGATATGCAAGGGGTGGTCGTGCAGTCATGCTGCAGTCATGCCCATGGAACAGCCATTGCAGAATTTTGATCAATTTTGATGTGTTCTTCCTTGTCTTTCTATCGGCAAATAACAGCAAATGGTGCTCAGCCGACGGTCGTGCCTCTCGTGCGGCCATACAATGGTGTGCAAAGAGGGCACCTTGCACAGGGCAAATCCAAGCCTTGAACTGACCGATCTATTCCAACCAAAATTGGATTTATATAATATGATTTAATGTAGACTCTTGATTAATAAACCCTCCATTTGAAGAGGATGTTCAATTCAATCGAGGGGGGGTTATAAAGAGTCCACATTACACATCTATGGGCAACCAAAATGGGATGACCCAAAGAAAATCGAAGCCGACGACTGGTCGTCAGCATCGCTTCAGACCATCCGGATTGGCTAACCGCCGCTTCGAAGCCCGCTTCTCTCGGCCGCGCGGCGATATCTTTCCAGCTCCAGGATCTTCTTGGCCGGGACCGATGCCACTCTCCAGTCCTGGACTGGTGTTGTTTCCAGTGAACACGTCGTGTGGGAAAGAAGGAGAGTCAGTGGGAGCTACAGTAGGCAGCCGGGGCCACAGGGCTGGCACAATTCCAGTGCGAAAGTGCGTTGATTCGGCTTTCCCACTAACAGAAGTCTTTCACCCATTTTCACCCACCATTGCAGGATCGTGATGCTTCTGGATGGACTTCTGAAAGCACAAGCAAACTGCAGAGAGCAACTTGCGCCTGAAACCTTTTGTTGAGTCAAGTCAAGTCAGTCAAGTCCCAACCTCGTCGTCTGTGTCGCAACTCCGCCGCAATTCTTCTTCCTATCAGTTCACAGATTGTTGATGATTTTTGGATCCATCACGCGTGCGGCAACGGAAGAGAGACATTCTTCGGCCATCCCAAAGGGGAAAAAAAAACATCAAGTGAATTGGTCCAATTCTAGATCAGAAAGGTGTGTAAATCAACCTCCAGAATCGACCGAAACATCCAGTCTGACCAACCACCAGGTATCACCAAAGGTATGTGGATGTCGTGGACAAGGGTGGCTCACTTGGATGACTGCACCTGACTTGGATGTCGTCGTCCACTTGCAGGTTGCTTGATGAACTTGGCTAAAGGGCTTGCCTCAATGGTTTGTCAAGTTGTCAAGTGCATGTAGGCATGCAGATTCGTGCATGTGCGTCTAAGCTGTGGTGGTGAGAACTAGTGAACTAGTGATGATCTGAGGCTAACATTCAGTTGGAACTCAATAAAAAGTGCAGCTAAGCTAGCAATGCTCGAATGCATGCACTGTCTAATGCCGCCACATTGCCGGAGCTTCTCCATAGGTCATTCGAAGCTCATGCTCCAAAACCAGAAGCTTGTCCGTTGCTGATTGGACCTGGCGCACTCTCCCATTCTCCAGGTGATCTGTCATAGTTTGTTGACTAGCTGGCACCTTTCTGCGAGAGTCGTAAGGAAGCAAAGAAACAAATGCCCTCACAATTCTCATGATAAAGCCAACAGGTAGGGCAGGCCATCCGGGTCAAGGTGGCATCAGGTACATGCGGCACGTCTTCAACGGCTTCGGTTTGCACCTGTTCGGCTTCACCTTCGCCCGGTGTCGGCACTGGTCACTGCAAAGGACGCAGCAATGGGCGCTGAGGCTTGAACCGTTGGCATGTTCTGGGTGCATCTCTTTGCTGGGAAGGGCTTCCAAGTGCTCAGCAGCATCACCTCACTTAGGGCACATTGACTCTTCAGCTACAGGCATTGTCTGGCTGAAGATGCATCTACAAATGTATGCAGCACACGGTCGCTAAGCTCGAGGCTAAATACCTCTTCCAGCACAAGGTCGACTAGTAGGTCTGCCTCAACTAAATGTGACAAGTCTAAATGTGTTCCAAAAGTGTACCCTTCCGATTCCAATTTCTTTCTTTGGTGCACCAGCCTGGCCAACCACTCTTGCAGCATTCTGCCTCAGCAAAAGCTTCCAGTTCCCGTGAGTGCGGCGGAATCTGCTTGGAACTAGTCATGACAAATAACACACATCACATATATATATATAGTTCATTTCTATTCGTGTGTCAACTGGTTCTGGTAAAGAAAACACTGCAAAATGGCTATGTGACATGTTGAACTCTTCTGGTCCTTGTGTTGTGGTTTGTTTTTACCAGTCTTCTTCCACCCAGCGACCGGAGGAAGTCATCAGGGCAGGGCAGCTTTCCAGGGCGAAAGGGTGTTGGCTTCAGCAAAGAACCTTCGGCAGGTGCTTCGGCAGGTCCTTCCCCAAGCAAAGCCCTCAGTCTCCGGGAGAGTTTCTGCACCTTCTCAGGCGTTTCAGGTGACATTCGGTCGGAATGACCCGGGGCATGTTCAAGTGTTCTTCTGACACTGCTGAACGGGCGGACCTGGGCGAAAGCATCTTCGCCATGCGAGGCTGTCTGAGCTTTTGCTTGAGGAAGAAGAAGTGCAAGCTTCTCTCCCAAGTGCGACACCCGTCGTTGCACGTGAGCAACGGCGAGTTGCTCCGGTGGAGGTTGTGGCCTCCAAGGAATCAACGGAGGCTGCGCTTCCCACAAGGGTCTTGGCGCTGGCGCGTCCGCTTCAATGGGTCTCTCCACTTCGACCGCCTTCGGCGGGGCAGGTGTTGGCGCCTTGGGCCGCTGGCGGGAAACCATGGTGTCTTGCAACCTCTCTCTCAAGTGTCCCGGTCGATTCCTCGATCGAACGGCACTTTCGTCCGCTTGAGCCGGCTCTTTTTTCTCGGGCCGAAAGGGCCGCTCCTCTCGCCCTCGGACGCCTCGCGGCACGTCCGGTGTCGGTGGAGCTGGTTGTGGCCGCGACTTCGTGAAGATCTGCTGCAGTTGGGTATCGAAGAAACTCGGTGCCCTGGTGTCCTCATCCCATCCAGGTCGCGGAGCTCGCGGAGCTCGCGGAGCTCGCGGCGCCTGTGACACCACCCGCGACGGACCATTGCGCCGGTGCCGGCGACCGCGGGGAGCACCGCGACTGGGCTGGCGCGGAGCGGTCGCGCCGCGAGCGCCAGCACTGGAGGCTCGAAAGGCCATGCTGTTTCACATGCTCTAGCTGTAGTGGTTCATGAACATGTGGTGTGTTTGTGTGTTTTGTTGTGTGTTTTGCTTCTTTTTGCTCGCTTCCTGTAATTATGTACGAGCGATTAAGATATAAGGCATTTTGCTCTCCCTCCTGTGTCTGCTCCGTCAAATCATATAAACACCCTTACTGAACGGTGTTGCTGCATCGAAAAATGCACCTCATGTAAGCGAGTTGGTGGGTTGGGTGGGTTTGGGATGTGGTCCTGATAAGTACATACTGAAGACACTTCTTGTTAATAACCTGTGGCACCATGATTACTCATGTGTCCTGAATTCCAACTGTGGGCCACACACAGTATGGTGTTCTCGATTGGTCAGTGGGGCAGAGTTCTTCTCAACCGATGAATTGCCCAAAGTATCCCAACGTCAGGGTCGAGTGGCTTCAACATCAGACCTGCAACTTTCTGTCTTCTTGTGCACCGCTCAACACTGCTTGTAATTGCAAAAAGTAAAATCATGAATCGTGTCTAAGTGTCCTTTCTTTTTGTCTAGTTTTAGATTAATATCCTTTCTCAAAAGGTGATCATTTTGTACTGACCGTTGCTGGTAATGGGACGATTATGGACGATTATTCTTGTGCCGTATCATGCTGTATCGATTATTCTTGTGCCGTATTGGACTACGTGTTCATGGCTCAAAGGGATTCGATTCAACGGGGCACTCCAATCTTCAATTGCTCCATCTGGGGCGCTTCGCTGAAGTCTATGGTTACAGCACATGTTCGAAGCTGCAGTCTCAGGTCGTTCGGGTCTTGGAAGTTTGGGTCGTTGCTGCACCGTGTAACATTGACGTTTGAAGAGTAGAGCAAATGGACCGAATGCTGTCAACCGGCGCCAACGTTTAAGCCACTTTCTAAATGTCAATCATGCCAGCGCGTCTAACAAGTCGTCGCAGCAGTACAATAAGACCGGCCAAGGGCAGTGTTGTGCCCATGTGATACTCCTTTCATGGCCTGGAAAAACCGCGGGTCCAGGGGTCCAGCGTCCAGCGTCCTTTGTGGTGATCTGTCTGCTTGCGACGCGCGACGAAGTGGGACCAACTGGTGCGTTCTGGGGGGGTTGGGGCGTGGCATGTTTGGCGACAGCTGGCGACTGCCAAGCTTGAGGCTTCCATGTGTACCTCATCCTCGATGGTGCAAAACAACGTACAGAGGCATCAAGCAACCATTTCGGTTCACATGTTTTTCATATGTAAACCTGATTCGGGGCTTTCTCAAAAACAAACAATCTCTGAAACTTGCGCGTATGCATCGTGCCTGCCAGGCCTCTTTTTGGTCAAAACGCCGGTCTCTGAAGTACAAATCCAGCACATCCGCCCTTCGTCATGCCGTGCCACTTGGCTGTCTGCTGCTCCGACACGAGGACCGCATCACCTTCGCGAAGCTCCAGGAGCTCGTGGGATCTGGGATGCGCTTTGCATGGAAGATAGTCTTCAAGCACCAGCCAGGAGCACACAATATCCATGGAGATTTGCTTGGCTTGTGGGTCTGAAGCAGTATGAGCCAAGAAAGCCAAAGGATCTTCATCCAAAGCTTTCTCCAAGCAAATGAAATCGTAGATCCGGCAGGTCAAGAATTCGGCTGCCTTGTCTCGCTTAGGGCCAACGGCAGCAAGGCACTTCGTCCAAACCTTTGTACCTTCAGAGAGCATCTCAAGAACCTGTTGCAAAGGCAATGTGGACGTACAAAGCTCGTTGGGATGCCCAGATGGCACATGTTTATTTGGAGTGAAGTAGTCCGACACCGGACGCCGGCATCGACCTGCCAGCTCTTCATGCAAGTCGTCCAATCTCTGTCCCACATCCAGGCGGATGAGATACGACAAGATTTGAAAGTCTATTGAGGATTTGGGAATGCCACGAAAAGCCGTCCCTCGCATGCGGGATACGCAGCGTCCGTGAGTGACAGAGTCCTCGTCCTCAGGTCGTGCAAGGATGCGACTAATCTGGACACTCTTCAATGGGAATCGTGTATTGCATGTCGCAGCTATATGACAATCGTTCTCCACATCATAGCTGAGAATACAAGCGCTCTTCCCTGCCAAATGTGCCAAAGGGCCCCTGAGGCGGTCGATCTCAACGACACTGCCACACAAGTCCATATTTTTCTTGTAGCCATTGCTTGGAGGATAGAAGTGGTGCCCACACGCCTCCATGAGTGAGCAAGTGTAAAGTCGCTCCGGCTCCAAAGCGAAGTGCGGGCTGAAAGAGCTGGAAAAGGAGAATCTGCGCATGTCGAGCCCCTCAAGTCCCATCATAGTCGAACCTGCGCTTCGGCCGTCGGCGTCATCGGCGGTCAAACGGTTCGTTGGAAAAATGGTAAGAATATATCGTAAGAATCATGTCATCCAGGATCTATCTGCAACATGAAATGCCCTGTCGGTCAGGAATTAAAAGAGCTGGCTTTAGGAGTCACCCAGAGGAAAAAGAGCCGCTGAACAATCCTCAAGAAAGAGAAACCATGCATATGGCGCATGAGTCACATGACGCTTCAGGAAAAAAAAAGAACCAATTTCAAATCACACGTTGACATGTTTCTTTGATGCGGAACTCTCCGTCCACTTCATGTTGAGACTTCGGGCCTTGTTGAAACCATCCCATGAGGTCTCAGATCCAAGGCTGTTCCATTCACCGCCAGCAGCGAATCCCTGGCCGACGCCAAGGCCGCAAGGACCTCGCCGGCCGCGCCCGCGCCGGCATCACCAGTGGCCAAGGCTCTTCTCACTCCAAGTTCGCTGCCTGCGAGCAAACAGCGATTTTGTGGAGATTGCTTGAAGGGTACAAAGGCCACTTCAGTAGCGGAGGGAAAGAGATGTTGTAGGATCTTCAAACGTGGTTGTTGCAGAAGGTCTTCGAACATTTCCGCCACCCGAATCTGCTTTTCCGTAATGCGGCTTGCTTCCGCACCAGCGGTGGTGCGCCAGGCAACACAACGAGTGCAAACGCTCAGCAAGGACAGCAATCCATCCTTGTCGCCCGTCAGCTTTCTCAAATAGGAATCACTTGAATGTATGTCTGCAAATACCTCTTTCTCTTCCGATGTATTTATCTTGTGCATGCAGCAAGTGGCAATAACGGCTCCCAGTACTTCTACTCTAGTGCCATTGCTACACCAGCGACGAAGCAATTTCAGAGCTAAATCGGTACCAGTTCCACAAAGGTGCTTTGCAATGACCACAACTTGCCGAATGCCGTGCTTTTCCAAAATGGGCTCGATTTCCCTGCTTGCATCCAAATCACCCACGTCGCCCGTCACGCGCAAAATCCGATCCCGATATTGCTCAGGAAGCCGCGCTTCAACGCGCATGGGTTCTGGAGGCAGCGTGTGATCAATGAGCACTGCATGACCACCCAGCAGCAAGCCTGCCAGCAATGCAAGGCTTCCATTTCCTGCGCCGATGTCCACCACCGCCAAGCCACCAGACCGGGGTCCAAGATTGGGTGCCAATGCCCAGACTTTGGCCAGAATTGACCATTCTTGTGCCAAGTACTTCTCTTGATATTTCGGTGGTCGGTCAATCATACTTGAGAGTATCTCCAGACCTTCTTGGGGAGCAAAGATCTGCGGCAGTCTCCGATAAGGGCATTCAACCTGCAGTGCTGCAGCTGCAGCAGTGAGAGCCTCCTCTACTTCTTCCTCTGTGGGATGCTTAACTTTCTTCTCTTGCCGGGCACCTGAGTCCGCACTGGAGCACCTGACGAGTGGACCAGAGAAGATCTTTTCTTGACATCATATGACATCTTGAATTTGAACCATTTGAACTCTGCAACGGTATAACTTTTGAAGACATTGTGCAACACTGGCCTGGACCACAAGTTCGGTAAAGCTTCTTGCAGGGCCTCATTCTTCAAACAAAACCAACTCATCAAATGACATTCTTCAGCACATCCAGCCTGCAGCACCTGGTGGACGGCTCGCAACTCCCGAGTGCGAGCCTTGTCATGCGCCAGACCTGTCGGTCTCGGTCCGGTCGCACCGTCGTCCCAAACGGAACGACACCGGAACCAACGACCCCAGCGGAAGCGGCTGGCGCGCGCGAGCGGCACTGGCCCTCTCTGGGGCTCCCGTGCGAACATGGGCACGCTCCTCCCGCTTCTGCCGGCGCCGGGAAGCCACGGATGGCTTTGACGCCACCTGATGTTGCAGTGGGTGGAGTCAAAGCTTGCAACCTCCTGGGCAAGGTGGTCCTCTGATCATCCCGCCTTACAAATGGCCGGGGCTTTTGAGGGGGAAACGACGCCATCATTGCACCGGCCTCACCGTCTTCTTCACCTAAAAAGCCATCAAAAGAAAGCACCGGTAGCCAGTCCTGGCTCCAAGTTGCAGCAGAAACAAACTCGGAAGCATGGCATGCTGGTCGGAAGCAGGTAGAGTCTGGTAGGGTGACCAGTCCACCAAAAACACCGCGAAAAAGTGGCACCTCGGCACCTCACTGAATTTCCAGTTTTGAGTTCGTTGAATCAAAGGTCCTCTATGTCGTTGTCATCGGTAGGATCAGCCATGAAAAAGAGTTCTTTTGAGCCCAGGCTGGACTCCAAGGACTCCAAGCTTTTGATCCCAGAGACATTGTTGATTCTGCAACCTCTGAAGTGGCCCTGTTGCCACCTTGAAGTCTATGAATCCAAATTTACAGTAAAAACAAACGCTCGCAAGGTTGCAGCTACAACACACCAACAAAAAAACTGCTCACAGAACTTGCAGTGCAGCCAGCGCAGCCTTTTCCTTCCAACTTACTCTGCGACTTCCAATTGCGGCCGCCGTTCTGCAGGCCTGGCGTCGTGGCTTTCAACCGCGAACCGCGATACCGCTGACCTCGGATGACCAACATCCGCCAGATGCACGGAGGACAAGTCACTAGAAGCCGGCCAGCTCCTTTTGCATGCCCATCGATGAGAACCTCAGGGAACGTTCGTATGCACTAGTCAGCGGGTCCAACCAAACCCTGAAATCGATTCGGAAGAGGAGACGGGTCAACGAGAAGAAGTCAGCGCTTCGTGCTTCCAGCGAGAGCCGCTGCACTGTCAGCCCTTGGCCCAGGATCCGCAATCATCTGAAATGTCCAGGTTCTTTCGGTCCTGAGTCGACAACCTGGCGAGGCCAAGGCCAGAGAGGTGAACTGGGTCGATCGCATCCGTAGGCACGGAACGCGAACGAACTGGCATCCGGTGCGGTTCTTCGGATCTTCGGATGGCGCCTCACCCAGCCTTCCCAGACTTCATCAGCCTGAGGAGGGAACCCCTTCATACCACTCACTGGATGAATTCATGTAAGATGTGCCATTCACCAGAATTCAAACTATCATAGTGCCTTTTTCCATGGTGTGATCACGTGTCATCTAGCCGGTCTCGTCTCAGTCATCTCACTGATGAATTCTTCGGGGAAAAAAAGACCTTCACGTCTTCTTCATCGTCTTTTGTCTCCAGCCTCGATCACAGCACCAGCTTCCAGGAAGGCAATCGCTGGAGCCTCCAGAACTTTCCAAAGCAATGCTGTTCTGAGAGACAAAAACAGCCCCCTACTGCCCCTAGTGTACAGGTCGCCACAGGATGGTACAGGATGATACCAGTCCATCCAATATATCATATGCCAATAATATGCCAATTCATATCCATTGCAATATCATTGTTGGACTTATCCCAATATCACTCCCCCCGACGTCACCTGCACCGAGGCCTTTGTTCTCACCGGAACACGTGGTTCGAAGACCTCAGCGCAGCGGCGCGAGCGGGAACCCACCGCCCTCCGCATGGGGGTGGCCGAGCCGTTGCTTTTTGGGGTCCTGGCTGTTTTTGAGGAGTTCTCCTGTCTGGTGACTCTTGACCACTAAAACCCCCCCAAATTGCAATTGGAAACATCCTCTGAAGTCGTTTTAGTCCTTCGTCCGTCCACGTCGCCCGGGAGCCCCCACGACACGAAACCACCGGGGTTCACACGGCTCCAACCTGAGATCCACGGGAGGTTGGATGAGGTTGGTGCTCCTGGTGTACACAGGACACCGCATGTCCCAGCAAGGAACCAGGATATATACCAGGGTTCGATGTCTTTGGTTCTACATTCTGCCAAATGAATAGTGCAATGATAGACTAATCACAAGATATTATATATAAGTGGAAGTTAAGTGACGCACATTCTGGATCACTCTGGTGATGTGCAGCCATGTGACAGTATGCCCAGGCTGACAGCTTTGCCATCTTGCAGAACCTCAGGGACAAGTTGCAAAATGAAGACCCATCTGAGAATTCTTCCCAAATTCAGGGAGAGGAGCAAACAGCAGGGCCCCTTGGGCCCCTTCAAAGGCCATAGATAGGGGTCCCAAAAAGACAGGGAACCCAAACAAGGATCGAGCCAATTACCGTTCGTTCTTTTCGCAAAAAAATGCAACCCGCAACCAACGCTCTCGCAGCTCCGCTCCCCCATCCCACGCTGGCGCCAGCCAACAAGGCCACCCACCCACGCTTCACAGTCTTCGGACCTGGGAGTTGCGAGTCGAGTCGAGTCGCACGACCCAAGTCGCACGCACGACCCATGTGTCTCATAGACCTTTCTTCCGCACAACCGATGTGTTTTTAGGACCGTTTGTTTTTTAGCTATATGTTTCTTCTTTGTTTCTAGCGATGGCCTCGAACCCAATAGTTGAAATCACTGAAGCAGACCAATTCGCCATTAAGTTTTGTGGTATACATTGTGCTAGTGCTAGGCTTGAGCTTCCTGCACATCTCGAGCTTGTGTCTCTGACTCAGCAAGTCGTACCCAGCCTGGTTGTCAGGTCCATTCAAGATCAACACCAGGCGTGAGTGAGCGATAGAGTGAGAATGAGAGCTACCGCACTCAAAAGTCCATCACCAAAAACCTATGCAATGCACTACAAGTACCTTGGTTTCGTTCTAGCTTTCATTAGGTCACAGAACGGGCACACAGTGATCTGCCAGCCAACTGAATAGCTTGAAGTGCTCATGAGACGCTGTCTGAGCCTTGTCTGACTTCTGCAATCTCTACAATCTCTCCAGCCTACCGCCGACGCCCAACGCGGGGGCAACCAACGCGACGCATCGGCGGGGTGTGATGCGCAGCACCGGGACGGGCGGAGCTCCGCGGAGGGACGAGCGCCTCCAAAAATGCCACGGAGGGTGCGGTCAAGCTCGGCGACTTCCGCACCTCGGATGGGATGATGGGATGAGAGGGTTCTAATAAGCGGAACGTCCATGTTGAAGCTTCCGAAAGATCTCCCAAGCGAAGAAAAAAACACCATGTGCAAGAGACTGCTTGGTGTCCCATGATCAAAGACTTCTGTACCTAAAAGCATCTAAAACCCACTGCAATGAAAGCTATGGAGATGGCTGTCACCCGCGGCTGGTAGACGACGCGAACCCTCAGTGGTCTCAGGCACTCCGTGGGTCATCGGATCGGATCAACGCCGGCGGAGCGGAGCAACACCGTCTGAGGCGCGTTCCACTTTGGAATGGCACCGGAGGAGACGATTCGGGTCTCCTCCTGCGATTCGCGAAGCGGGCGGTGAAGCCAACGGAGGGATTTCGGGGGAAGGAACCGCGGAAAAGGAACGAAGCCGCCAAGGAAACCGGCGAAGGCGAAGGCGTTGCTTGAAAGGCTCCTTCCAAGCTCGGGGCTTGGGAGTTGCTTTCGGTTCCCTCTCGGGTGTCTTACCTGTCAAAGGATGTCAAAGGTGACATGCTTAGCTGCTTGGAGGCAGCCAAATCATGCAGCTGAGCTAGGTGACATCTGCGCCTTTGGCAGAATCTGCCCATTGGCTGAAGCGCGACCGCCCAGCAGTCATGGGGTATTGATGTCGCTGAAAAGGATGTCAGCTGTGCACACTTGGTAGCTCTCTTGTGGCTCAAAGATGCTTAACCACCGACTCACATCCGTTCTCCTATGGTTTTAACATGCCAGTTCTCACAGTTCTGTTCTGCATCGGCGCGCATCGTTCTGCTGTTCCACCATGAGTTGACTCGATTTGACCCTGAAAACGTGCGCCATCACATCATGAGACCTGCAAAAGTAGCTCAGCAATGTCGTGCCATGGTGAAAACAAGCCTAAATCAACACAAAGAAGTAATGATAGACTCTTGATGAATGACTCCCCTGGAAATGAAGACCTTTTTTACAATCCAAGGGCAGAGGGGGCAGAGGGGCTTTTGTTCCTCAATCGTCTACATTCACTTCACTCGGCTCTCTCGTCGTGTCGACCCGGACGTCCGCTTCACTGGCTCGTCACGTCTCCGCTCAGATCCTGGACCGCGGAGTGGCGTTCCCGACGTGGCGTTCAACTCGTCCGTCCGCGGTCCGGTTCGTCGTGTGTTGGAACATTGTTTAACATCATGTTTTGGACGGATGGACCAAGGGATGTCCAAGGCCAAGCTCAAGGAATATGAAGAGATTTTGCCGATTTAATGTTATTAGATGGTATGTCACGTGTGTGTCCATGCATGTCCTGTCTAGGGCCTCTAGGGCTCCCTGCAATGACATCCCACTTTCCCGAAAGCTGTTGCTTCAGCAGGATGCTCCGATACTCCTCAAGTGCAGCAAGAGGTTATAGTGTGTGACGGCCCCGACCAGCAAAACGAGGCTGACAATCTCCTTGGTACCGCAGGTGACCAGAAGCTGGCTTCCAGCTTGGTACCATTCAATCTTCCAGACTTCCTGTGCTCAATGGCTCAAGCGGATAACGCCTCCGATCGCCGAACCGCGCCTCCTCGAGGTTCACTCGGTCTTCGACCACCCACGTGCTCGACGGGTCACCTGGGGCGAATTCACCCGGAACATCGTCGCGGTTCGGTCGCCCGAACCCAAGAGACGAACGACACCAGAAGATCACTTCTTGCCCCCTCACACACCTGCCATGTCGTGCTCTGCCGTGCTCATGTGTGGTTCAATGCTGACCCAGAGAAATGTGCCGTGCAGACGCCAAGGTGTCATAGTTGCCATCCCATGGTTTCCAAGCAACATCGCGAAAGTCCTCAAAAGTGCATCTATCAACATTCAGGAGAGTTGTTCATGTCCGCCTTGTGTGAAAAACTGCTCAGATGTTCAGCTGCCCTCTCTGCTGTTAGAGTCTCCTTGTTCTCCGATTTCTCCACCTCCTCTTCTTTGCACCTTCCCTGCACCTCTCTGGCACACCAAGCTCGGTGCCAGACCGGTGCGGTCGACCGGCACGAAACACTCGCGTCGCGCGTCTCGCTGTGTGCGGCGTCTCGTCGTTCGGGGCCGCGGCATCCAAAATGGACCACACCCGTAGACCTCGAAGAACGGACGCCCAGCGGGATTCCCAAAAAAGAGGTGCGCAAAAAAAGGGGGGGTTGCCCATTTGAGCTTCTTTTTTGGTTGACAACTGATTTGGGCCGAGTGAGATGTGTTTTTCTTTTTTGTGTGGTTTTTGTGGTTTGTATAGTATGTTCATTCCTCTCAAGTGTCTTAAGACATCTTCAGACCTTGCATCTGCAGGGCGTTTGGGGACAAAATCGCTCAAACGAACAAATGTGCTGCTCACCATCATCACCAGCTGAAGCAAGGCCTGAGAGCGCGCTTGGGATTCAGCTCTTCAACCAAATTAGAAATTGCCATATCGCCTCCCAAACAGATTGGTCGTTTGAAATTGCAGCCTAAAATAGGCGAGAAAAAATAACGACTAAGTAGGCTTCTCTCCGTCCAACTAAGTGACTTCGACAGCCATTTGTTCATCGACAGCTGAGAAATCGACAAGCTCCAGCCAGCTTTCCAAGCTCTGGCCCGACCTTGGGACGGTTTGGGGTGTTGGTCAGGTTCGGTCCAACCATGGTCAAACGATCAAACAAGGCGGCCGTGTGTTGAGGTTCTGACACTGGAAGCCCAGGACACTGCATGCACCTCCAAAACCCGTGAGGTGAAACCCAAACAGTCGACAGGCTTTGCAAACATGTCAACTGCTGGAAGCGAATGATTCGAATTCCTGGAGGCCTCCCCCTGATGAATGGCGAAGCTCTGCGTCTGCCAGCGATGTTCGACATCTGCTTCGCCTTCAGATAATGTATGGAAAATGCTGATGGAATTTGAGAACACACTGCAGAATACTGCACACCTGACCGCACTGTGCCCTGATGGATCGTCGCTGTGACGGTTCCATCGCTGAGTGCACACGCAAATGCCTCAGGATGTCGCACCGCGTCGCACCGCGACGGCACCGCGACGGCCCGATCTCATCGGTTGAAACGATCCCTCAGCTTTGGGCGGCTCCCACATTCACCGGTGCCCAGGACACTGCCTCGCAAAGAACCACGAAAGGTTCCCCGGTGAAGTCAACACCAGCGTTCGCGTCGGCAGCACCTTGACTTCTCCATGTCTGCTCAAGTCCTCCTCGTGAACCTCGGAAGGGTCGTCTCTTGGCCCGCGAAAAAAACGGCTTCGAAGCGCTGAGGAGGGCCACGAGTTGCCACCTCTTTGCATCGTGGCATGGACCCCACAACAACACCTCAGCATCGCAGAACTCCATATGTCGACATGAATGGATAGGGTGTCGTTCACATGTGTTCGTCTGATTTTCTTCCTCAGATTGACAGGTCTTCACATGGATTGAACCAAACACCGTGTGCCATCCATGCGAATCCGAGTGCCCGCGCGCGTCCATCGTCTCCTCCGGTCAGCAAGAGCGCACCAGCTCCGGTGCCGACAGGAGCCCAGGAGGCCTGGGCGAGGAGGTTCCAAGTGACCTGAAGGTCTTCTGAAAAGCAATAAAACGTCGGAAGTCTTCGGGAAAATAAACAAACGATGTTAACAAAAAAAAAGAACTTACTTATATGCATGAGAATAAAAGTTGAATCTCATAACAGGTCATAGCAAAAAAGTGGCCTCCAAGTTTGGAGTGTCCAGTTGTCGAGTCGGTGCCCCGCCCCCGCGTTGAGGAAGCGGATTTGGACGAGTCCACCGACCGCTGAGAGCGCCTGTCGGACTGGACCAGTGTGACCATCCAAGTCGCAGAGGAAGATGGGGTCCTGGAACAGAGTAGTCAAAAAGCACCGTGAAAAAGCAACGTTCTTTCCTGGAGGCGAGAGAAAAGTGGTGTGTCTGCGTCCTTCTTGAAGACTTCAGCTGTCTTTTTTTTCAGCGGTTAAAGCTAGATTGATTGCTGTTTGCGGCTTGCACCCAAGAAGGTCCTCTGGCGATTGCACATCCCACAACTTCACCAAACCATCTGCTGACCTCAAGCTGTTTCGCTGTTTCTCCGTCTCATGGCAAACTTCCAAAGCGTCTCTGGCAAAACCAACCATCTAAAAAGTATACGACTGTTTCACGAGCGGTGCCCGAACAACCAACAACCAGGTCAGGTAGGGTAGGTCGTTCGGTCGTTCATGTGGAGTTTCCCATGGTCATCGCTCGGAGCGCAAATCGATGATCCAAGTGTCCGGGCGCCGTCGCCAGTCTGAGGCAGAGCTCATCCAGCTGGGTGTCCAGAATTGGTGCCGTGTGAGCTGTGTCGAACTGAGACACGATCGCGGTCATTCATTCAGCCTGGAAAAGCATGAAGGGCCGACAAGGAGACATGTGTTTTTGCTTGAGATCGGGATGGGCATACAAAGAAGACTACAGTGATCTTCTGGAGATTCCCTGAGACAAAACCATCTCAGTTCACCACAGGAACACAGCTTGGCACAGATATGTCTGGCGATTCTGCAGGTCACAGGGAAATACCAGGATCTCTGCATCGGTCGCCAAGCCCAAACGAACAAGCCAGGGCCAAGCCATCCCAACTGTTCTCGCCCCAAGCCCAAAACAAACCAAGTTCTTGAGCTTGGACCTAAGTATTGCGGAAAAAAACAGCACTCAATATCAATCAACCATCAGCGCTGAGGGTCGTGAAATCCCCTCCATCCCTCCATCCGCGGACCGGTCCCGATGGTGCGTTTCGGCCGCTCCTTTGAACAGGTGCGGGAGGACCAAACGTGGCGCGAAAGCGAAAAGCGAAGCGTTGGGCTTTGTAAAAGCTGCTTGGTGTGACCGACGTTCGATGGTGACGATCGCAGTGATTTTGGTGGATTTGGTCGCGAACGAAAGGAGGTGAAGGATTTGCAAGAAGTGCTGGATGACTGGATGACCACAAGAAGTGCAGCCCTTTCTCTCAACCTACCTACAGTACGCCATTCAAACAGACTCCGGTCTAGGATAATGATGACTTCAACGAACTGTCTGTGCACAGGAATATCTGCGTCTCTTTGATGGAGCCTCACAGCTGCAAGATGAGGTCAAGCGGAGCATTCCGGTCAAGCGGATCGAAAAAGAGTCTCCCAAAACGTGCCAACAATGCACCGAAGAGCTTCGTTGTTGCAACACCAGCACCTTTTTGGCACGCTCGCTTCCCGTGGAACAAAGGAAGGCTTCCTGTCCCGCGTAGGTGCAAACGATCCGTTTCGACTGCCAAGCACATTCGTTTCTGCTCCTGTGTCGAAGGTCAGGCAAGCATTCACGTATTCCTCGTGCTAAGCCTGAAAAAGGTCGGTTCCAGTGAAATTGTATAATACAAAGCTGCAGAGTGCCAAAGCCTCACACCGGCGGTCGGCGTGCTCATGTAGCTGTGACAACTGTGGACTCTCAGGACAAGACGAAGGAGAAAAGCATTGTAAAGGCTGTCCTGGGTGATCCGTTTCACCCAGCACATGCCCAGATTCTGGGTCTCGAATACCACTTCGAACATCTTCAAACAGCTCACAAGTAAAATCATCATCTCTTCTCCCTCCACAGGTTGCCTCAAACCATCGCACAGTTCTTGTTTTTCCTCAGCCTCCGGGCCAACCAGCACGCTTTGAGGTGCTGCCTCGAAGACGAGTCCAGCGCCGCACGGCGCCACACGCTTGAGCTGAGTAGCGCCCAGCGCGGCTCCAGGCGTCCCACCTGCCAGCCGCGGTGCCGCCACATGGAGTCGACTTCATTGATAACATCATTCTACCGAAAGAAGAAGAAAAACATATCCAGTAAGCTTCCAACACCAACCTGCGCCGAAAATTGCAAATGATTTCAAAGTGGTGCTTTTGGAGCTTTGCGGTCACAAAATTGAAACAGTACATATTCAGGCAAACCTTTTCAGCTTTAAATAGCGTTAACAACATTTCAGCCCTTGGTCTTTGGCACATCCAGACCGCCGCGCCAAGCGGCGCCGCACCCTTTTCGCTGCTCTTCTCGCACTGTTGGCGCAGTCCAAGGACGCGCCACGACATGCTGCGCTGCCACGAGGAGCCACGTCTTCTCACTACTCGGTCTCAATGGTTTCATCAAGAGCTTGGTATGCATGCTTCGGTGCTCCAGTAAACCAAACGCGAGCCTCGCGAGAGTGATGTGCATATATAACATATACATATACTCTGTAACACATATCATATTGATACATGATGAATGTGACATATGTATATAATGTTGTTTAACTTTGTGGTAAGTCTAATGAGTCCATCGCTTGGAGAGAGACCGGGCGGCCTTGTAGACCATGCGGGACACAAAGGATCTTGGACGCTTTTGAGTGTCCTCCAAAAAGACACAGCACGACTGCTGTCAACACACACGTGCTGTCAAAGTACAAAAAGAAGCGCCGGAGGCAATGGGGATAGGGTGTTTCAGGGGGGAAGGTAATGAAGGTTCAGCTGCCAAGTTAAGAATCGGAAAGCAAAGAGTCGCTTCTTGCCAGGTCTGGCCTCTGCCTGTTCTGCAAGGGCCCGAGAGGCTTCCAATCCTGTCACAGCTACTTCCGGTGACAACTGGGCACCATCTTTGAACCTACTGAGGCAGTGACGAGCATCCTTCTTGGGATCAACTGCTTGCAAGTAGGACTTTCCAGCCTTCGAAGCCATGTAGCAACTTTCCAAGACCGGCAATACGCCTGAAGATTATGTTTTTAATTTTTGGGGGGCCTCATACCAGGTGGTCGGCTGCAGGCCAACTTCTGGCGAGTGCTGGGCCATGAGCACATGGATGGGATTGGTGTTGAAGTAGCCTAAGAGAGCAGCTTTCAACAGCAAAACCGCGGCTGAAATCTGCTGAAAGTTGAATGGACCTCAAATGTGTGCTTTTTGGCAGTTGGACGCCTTTGCATCTTCTAAGCGTGTTCAGCCCGTTCAAAACAAGTTGCTATAGCGAAGTCTGGCAAGTGCTGCTTTGTACGACCTGGCGGCGGGCCATGGCGGACCATGCCCCGGCAGGTGGTGCAAACGTGCCGCGGTCTGAGGATGTCTGAGAATCAGGCTCGCTTCTAGTCGCGTAGAGGAAACGAATGCTGTGGTGGTGGTTCAGAGCCTGCCCATCGCATGCTCCCGGAAAAAAATCACGCAAAATGCACAAGCATGCGCATGCAAGCGCACGCCAGCGCAGCTTGAAGCGGGAATGTTCGGAACGAAAGAAGGATGCTTAAAGTGCGAGAAATGATGTACTGTACCCGTATGATCTATACAGTCTATACATGTCTCCTGTCTTGTAGATGTTTTTTTAAAAGGAACACGTCAAGAACGTCCGACCTTGGACAGCAAGAACAGATAGAACGCACAGCTGGCCAGGAAGGTGGCCACACAAATCGGGATCGAGGCGATCAGCTCCTGAGGTGACCAGAAACCGGTCGGATGGACGTTGTTTGGGGTCTCAATCTAGAATCTAGGACCATGGAGTGTGTGACAATGTGTGTGTATGTATATTCAAATCATTTCATACCTTCAAAGCAGAAAACCGCCTTGAACTCTTAGAACAGAACTTCCAGACCGACCGACGTAATTAGTCCTCATCCCTCCCACATGTCCATGTTCCGCCACACCGCGGACGCCCTGCACGTCCAAGGCGCGAACTTCAAGGCTCTACAAACCCACGCAGCAGAGGTCACCGCAAGCTGCGAGACGGGCAGTGCCCAACCTGAGAGTCTCAGAAACCGCCACGAGAGACGACCGGTAGCACGAGGGGTGAACGGAGAGCATGGGTTTCTCAGCTCATGACCAGCCAAGACCGCTTTATCTAGCCGAGGAGTGGTGAAGAAGGTCTCCTTTGATGCCCTGGAACGTCCAAAAAGTGCTGCAGAAGTGTGGGGTGTCTTCCGGGAAAAAAGGGACACCGCTAGGCACAGGCCACGCATTTCCAAGCATGTTCAAGCTCTCCGGCCTGAAATGGATGATGCGCTGCGCACAATACATCACGCAGCCTTGTTCCAGCCGCGTGTCCAATTACTCACTCATGGACTCACTCTGAAAGACATCCGAGAGTGAATCCCCTGTTTGGAAAACCTACTCCAAATATCGCCAAATCTGAAAGAAAATGCTTCCATCGATTTGGACGAAAAAAAACACATGTATATACAAGAAGAAGAAGAAGGAGGAGAAGGAGAAGGAGAAGGAGAAGGAGAAGGAGAAGGAGAAGGAAGAAGGAAGAAGGAAGAAGGAAGGAGGAGGAGGAAGAAGAAGAACATCGCCAAGACACACCACAGGACCAAAGCAGCGCATAAGACCCGGGATGCACATGAGCCTGGTGGCTCAGCCAGAACCTCGCGAGGCCAAGGACGGCGTGAAGCCGAGCCGCATGCCCAGTCATGCCGAAAAAGTACAAAAAACTAGGGATGTAAACTGATGTAAACACCTTGGAGAAGAGGATATCTTTGGTATAAGAATTTGCATGATCTTTTCTTTAGGACTATGGGCTACCATAGCGACGACTCTCCTCAAGGTCCAAGGCTCCAGAGGGAAGAATGCACAGCAGGTCAGCTGAATATGACTAGCCTCAGGTGAGCTGTTGAAGCTCGCATACCTTTCTTACCTCCCATCATCCCTGTCGTCACTCCTTGGAATCTCTGTTTTGACCGGACGCTGCCGGGTCCACTGTTCTGTTAGTATCTTCTACTCAGATCGCTCACTTGCAGTTTAGTGGCATAGTCCCAAGGCAACCAAATCCTTGGAGTTCAACAGCTCGGAGATACGACAGCTCCGCATGGAACAACAGCGGGTAAGTACGCGCAACGCGGCGCGTGGCGTGTCTGCCCAGCCACTCATCCGGTTGGAGCATCTTCTCACAATCACGGCCCGACATCGATGAACCCATCAACCCCGTGCGGATCACAAACACGGCCTGAGGGTACCGGACGAAGGCCGAAACGAATATGTGTTCTTTTTCTTTTCTCTTTGTTTCCACCAGCGATGGCCTCCAACCTACTAGCGATGACCTCCACCCAACAGCGATGGTCCAACCCAATAGTGTATTTTGGCAATGAGGTGACCCAGCTTATTGCACTGCCTTTCGTTTTGCCAATGAGGTGATGGGTGGAGGTTCGGTCCATAATGAGTCCGCCTGCCAAAGAGTCAATGGGACAAAGCAGAAGGAGAAGATACACGATGAAAAAGTCCCTGTGAGGAACATTTTCAAGACCTGAGAGTTGCGACTTCAGCCAGGGACTGTCCGCAAAATGGGAAAAACAACTACACCTGAGGGACCCGCTGCATCTGCAAGAGAGGCTTCTCGCGATAGCTCCGCAGATCTTTCAAGCGTTCTTCCAGCTGTAGCAAACATATTTTTCTGGCAAAGGGGAAGGCAAGGTCCGTCAAAGGAAAAAACTGAAGGAACATATGAGAATATCATGACCATTGCGTATGCCCCCAAAAAATACACCCTGGCTCGTAATCCTTGCACTTACAGGTGTTTTTCTGTGTGGAAAATGTTTCCTGTTCCTCTGCCCGCTCCGCTCCGCGCCTCAGGTTGCCCCACTGCCGCGAGCTTTTGCGCGGTGAGCAGAACCAGGCTGAAGGTGTTCAACAGAACGAGCAAGGTTCGCGCCTCGGGATGTGACGTTTTCTTTCGGCCATGGGTTTGAAGGACGGCCAAGGCATAGAAGTGTGAGTGAGTGAGAGTGAGTGTGAGTGAGAGTGAGTGTGAGTGTGAGCGTGTGTGAATGTGAGTGTGAGTGATGAGTGAGTGTGAGTGTGAGCGTGTGTGAGTGAGTGAGAGTGAGAGTGAGTGTGAGTGAGAGTGAGTGTGAGCGTGTGTGAATGTGAGTGTGAGTGATGAGTGAGTGTGAGTGTGAGCGTGTGTGAGTGAGTGAAAGTGAGGGTGAGGGTGAGAGTGAGAGTGAGAGAGTGGGCATTTGAGAGCACAAAGTGCTGCGCCTGCGCCGAAATCTGCACTTCGAGGATCACAAAGTACTGCGCCTGCCACGAAATCTGTACACCGAGGTTCAATGCACCTGCTACGAAATCTGCACTTCAAGGTTCACAAAGCGCTGTACCTGCCACGAAATCCGCACATCGAGGTTCACAAAATGCTGCACCTGCCACGAATTCTGCGCATCGAGGGGTGGGCAGGGCGGCCTTGGAGCTTCAGCTGGCCAGTGGCTTTCTTGAAAGCCGCTTGGACATCCTGGGCCTGGCAGAGGTCCTTTCGGAGGTTCTCCGGCAAGCTGGGCGAGTGCTCTCGCAACAGGCCCTGAACCATTTCTTGCCAGAGAGGTCATCAGGTTCACCTGGAGAAGGGGCCTGTTGGCCACTTGTCCGTCCGTGAGCGCTCGGAGGCCGGCGGCCTGGCGGGGTGCCTTTGCCAAGACCTTTAGAGACCATCATGGTTCGGGGGTCCATTTCAGGTGGGGTCTCCATATCTGGGGTGGTGGTCAACCAACCTGTGCACTGGAAAGAGCGGTGCCAAGCAAGGCGCTGCTTGCAAGGATGGGTTTTCCCGGTCCACCGGCCCCAAATCCAGGATCTGCATTTTCTCCCGACACATTTGAGATACCCATTCATGGGCACTTCATATGGGACCTGGGGGGTTATCCAGGCCATTTGCCTGCCTACCCCGGTGTGCTCAGAAACCTGCTAAAATTGCATCCCGATCTCTTTTTTTGACTATAAAAACACCAGACCTAGACCAATGACCAGGCTGATCCTAGCAGCAAAATTGTCCAGCTAGGAGTTGCTGGAGCAAGACTTCCTACTGCCATCTTTCTGCTGGCCAAGGGTGCAAACATAGCAAGCGTGCAGTGTTACAATGCACCACTACTACTCAAATCTGCTCAACAACAAACAAGCCTGAACAACAACGACCCTCAAGCGGTTACATGAAACCATCGTCCTCTACTCAGCTACATTCAGCTACCAATGCTCTGTCGCTCTAGCCAAGTGCTGCTCAACGGTCCAGAGAGCAACAAGACAGCCATGAACCACTTCCACATAGAATGAAGTCTTTCCACCATTGTGTGTGTGTGCCCCCCCTCCGTTTCCAGGAGTTCTCCTGTTACTTTTAAACGGACCAAGCAGGATACATCGTCGCGATGTATCTGAGGATATGGAAATGGGACGCCATTTCCACGTACCTGCACTCCTACCCAGGGAAACAGAAGGAAATGGTTCTCGGCGCACCTTTCCTTCTTATGACCCTTTTCTACACTAATGGGGCGATTCGAATGTCTCGCCCCCTAGCAACAAGCTGGAAACTTGATTTCCTTTTCTAGCTATTTTCTACCCTATTTGAAGCGATTCCTTTGGTCTCGCTTCATGATGTAACTTACTCCATTATGCACGGCCGTACTTCGGGACCGCTACGTATTCAGTAACTAAGATGTTGTTCTAACAAATGTTCAAACAATTCGGTTTTGCTGACACTGCCGCCTTACCGTTCCCTCATTCCTTTCACTGTGGATTCTGGCATTGGATGAACCCTTGTCTAAGTGTGTGAGAGAAGGCCAACCACTTTGAAAGTCATTTTCAAATCTAAGCTGCCGACTGCAAAGGTTACTATATCAGCTTGATCTTTTCGCTTGAAGCCAATGCACGGCACGCCTGCGAGCAGAAACTTTGCATCTTCTAGCCGCCTAGCCTTTTATTCCCAGCTACTAGTTGCCCAATTACCCCGGTTGTTCTTCTGTGTGTTTCATCTCAGGCCCTTTTCTTCGGAATTGGCTAAAAGGACGTGCCCTCTAATCGGGGGCTGAATGTTGGTGAGAAACACGCATACCGAAAAAGAGCGCACCACGGAATCCGTTGCCTAGCCACAAGAGGTTCGCAATGAGGTTGTTGCCAACCTAAACACATCGGCTGGTGGGCTTGCAATCTCAAAGTGATTTGGTTTCTGCATGTTTCTGCTGGTCAATTAATCATGACAGGCCAAGGTTGTGCAAACGTGATTGCATCAAAAAAAGGCGAGCAGCGCCAACCACAATTCCCAAGCCAGATGTCCTTGGCCAAATCAACGGCAAAATCCACGGACCAATTCAACAGCCAAAACGAGCCGCAGCAGAAAGCATAGGCTCAGCGCTTAACGCCAAACAAGCTCGGCTCAGCCGCTCTTAACGCCAAGGCTCTGAAAGGGCGACGGCGGTTTGCCGGCTTTCTGGGCGTAGCGCACCACGGAGGTGGTGAGCGGAATATACCTCGGTCTCGGCGGTTTGGGATCACTTCAGCACCGCCTCCCTTCCCCCCCCCCGTTTGGTGTCGCGCGTCAACGACTGGCGGGAGGAAGACCCACGGTCAGTCCAAGCCGCACCCCGCCGTAGAAGACCGCAATCGCCAGCAGGAAGCCGATGAGCCCGATGCCAATCCGAACGGCCAGTTGGAGATGGGTGGTGCCCATGTGTTCCCAGATGATCGACGTGGGCTCACTGGTGACCTCGCGGATCTCCAGCTCGCAGCCGCGGAAGCTGCGGTCCCGGCGGGTCTTCTTGGTGGAAGACGACGGCGAGAGTGCGTTGGGCACCGGCGAGCCGTCGTGGAAGGAAAAGAAGGAGCCGGTGCGTTGCAAGCCCCTTGGCTGGTCCCAACTGGAAAAGAAGGATTCCACATCTGCTTCCTGTTTCATCACTACAAAGGCTTCACCACTACATCTCATCTCCGACAACCACGTCTGAGTGCTGGAAGGATCTAAAGACGTCTCGTCGCCCTCCTCGCCCTCTAGGAGGGCAGGCAGCTTGCTTGGGGAATGTCGCACCGTCCGCCGCCGGCTGCCCGGCACACCCAAGGCAGCAGTGAAAGTCTCCTCCTGCTGCTGCAAGTGCTCGTCGAGTTTCTTCACGATCAGATGACGCAGCTCTCCATTGTTGAAACCTAAGCAGTTGGTCTTGCCACGGATATCGTAACAGATCGAGACCCCTTCGATGGGCCGCCCAAACTTCTCCTCGATCCATCTCTGGAGCTCCACGGGATTGGTGGCATCCGGTGGAAGCCCTGACAGACCAAAGCAATAGTCTTCCATTCGCGTGTGCACCCGGTCATAGGTGCGCGCGGCGGATGCCTGCCATCGCGCAAAGATGATGGAGGCGGGCAGAATCGCCAGCCACAGGAAGAGCGCAATCAAGGCGCGCCTCCGGGCATAGCCGATTACCGCGGCCTCGGATTCTTCATTACCACCATAGCCACATTGCAAGGTATCCCACTGCTGCATGCCAAACAAGCCTTCTGAGAATCTCAAAAGTGACCAGCCAATCAATGCTACAGCCCCTACGAAAATCAAGTGGTTGTAGTAAAGGGCCAGGCCGACTCCCACGATGTTGCGGGAATGAACATTCACGTTCAAGGGGTACAAAGGTGCTCGCGCGTAATAGATCTCAGATCCTGGTGCTGCATGCCGGTCAGGGATGGCCGCTTTGGTTTCCACATCGTGAGGCAAGCATCTCTCACGGTGTTCCAAACCCCTCGTCAGCGATTCTGAGTTCTTGTTGCAAGTGATGCTGAGCAATGCTGCAATGGCCAAGAGGATTCCAAGAATGGCACCAAGTACTAAGTAGGTCTTCAGAAGAAGCTTGTCCAGAAGATATGTGCAAAGACCATCCTTCTCGAGTGCAAAGCCTTCTTTGCATCGCGTGCATTGCAAGGTCGTCGCTTGCCCATCGATTTCGACATAGTTACATTCTTCACATCCATCCGAAGGGCAACTTTCACACTTCAAGGTCTCGGGGTTGGGGAAGGGCAAGTCAGGCCTGTACGCTCCACAGTCTTGTGGTGGTACACAGGCGGTTCCACAAGGAATATGATTCCCAAATCCGTCCCAGCTGGAATATGCACTCATCTCCAAAAAGGGGCAGCTGCTTGGACATAAGAGTGCAATATCAGCTGTCTTGGTGCAATTGGTCAGGACCATGCGCCTACAAAACAGCTTGGCTGCTATCTCCATATCAGAAGGATCCCGGATCATGAAAATGGACCCATCTTGCTGCAGGAATCCGCAGTTGGAGTTGCTGAGCTGCCACAACGGGGCGGGGAAACTTGCATTTTGCAGTAGAACCAGTGGCTGAACCTCCAAGTTGAGATCCATCTGCGTTCCATCCCTTTCCAAAACAGGTCCACTGGCTCCACTGGCCGTGGATAGAACACATAGTCTCCAAAGGCTTGGCACACATCTGTGTTGTCTCATCCCATCGGACGCCACCGTTTCGGACGCTTCACACCCCGACTTCACCGGTCACTCTCTACCGCCTCGACCGGTCACACATGGCGCGCGCGACGGGCGCGACGCGCTTCCACGGTCACTCGACCGGTCGGTGGCGGTGTCTGTCGGCTGTGGGGTTGATCTGGCTGTGTTGATGTGTTTGCAAAGGAGGAGAGAACCAATTCACCTGAAACGAAGGATCCGATTCACCGGAAAAAAGGTGCTAGTGGAAACGCTGGCCAACAAAGGTTGAAACCAAAAGTGGAAAAGCATCTTTCTGCACGGGTCAGCTTGCTCGGCTTTGATTCAGCTTCGGCCGATTGGAGCCCAAAGGTGGTGCGGTGGTGTTCGTTCAATTCGAGCCTGTTCATTTGAAAGCCATTCCATGCCGGGCAAAAACACACACAAACTGTTGGGAGTGTGTTTAAGCCATTCCATGTACATGGCCTTCGCAGCAGACAGTGTAGGACTGGAAGCTGAAATTTGAAGCCTGCCATTTGGCACAAAGTACTGACAAGTTCTTGCAACACGAAATGAGTGAACGATCTACACTCTACCCGTTTCAAAGGTGCACATTTGACCAGCAGGCAAAACTACAACACAGAAAGCTGCTGGTGTTTAAGTGTCTTTGATCTTCCACCGTTTCGTTCTGTTCTTGTTTTACCAGTAGCTTTGTGAGATATCGTGTCAGGTGTGGAAAACAAACGAGATCCACTGAACGAAGTGACGTCACACCATGAGGGGGGAAGGAGGCGGCGCATAGCGCCGCAGAGCCACTTTCAATGACATGCCTCCTCCTTGCCACCCCACCTTCAAGGTCCCCACATTGCCCCCTGGCTTGCCCCGTTGAACAAACTATATATATATAGTATAGACTATATTACAAATTTATATATACCAATATATATATAGACTATATATTACAAGTATACTTGTCAATAAATATATTGTGAATTCTTTCGTTTTTCAAAGTCCTTCACATCCGACTAAGCTCAGCCGGGTCAACTTGTCCCCCTGTAGAGCGCGTCGAACAACATCATCCAAGTTGGTGAAGAAAGGAAAGAGCTCCTGCGCAAGAGCTCACTGCTGGGACAGAAACGAAATCTGCTCCGAACTCACTCTGCAGAAAATGGGGCTGAGCTGCCAGAGCACAGGAGATCGGTCGTGTGTTGCAGGTGCCATTCCATCGATCGGTCGGGAACAGAGGGATGTTTTCCCGTCCCCCCACCACAACTCCTCGGGCAATTTATCAACAGAAGTGCGTGCGAAGGCATCCACCTCGCGAGCGACCATGGCCAGGAATACTGAGTATGTATGTAAGCTTAGTATGAAAGGCATGTCAATTCCAAGAGTAACTAAGCTCACTGCAAACAACATGAGCAAGCGTCGGCTTGAAACCTACACGAGTCCAGCAGAAATCTGGCCTTTTTTGGTCCAACAGTCCAACAGTCCAGTGAGTCATTTAAAAGCACAGCCAAACCTGTCGTTCTTTGCCAGATCCAAAGTCCGCCAGCCTGGGACCATAATTGAGTCAAACATGCCATCGAGCCGATGTGAAAAAAACTTGGCCAGGCCAACCAAGAATCGGCTTGCTTATGCCACAGCATCAGCATGTCATAGTTGGATGCAAAATCATCATCCTCACGCAACCTGTGAGCATGTCGTTGAATGCTTCGCTGATGTTTGGTCAACGCTTCTTTCGCTTCTGGGATTCCGAGCAATGTGTAAAAAAGAGCCTCATCAGTAAGGTGAATGTAAATCGGGATCTGCCTCCAACACAAGGGAAGGGCCAAAAATTGCCAAACAAAACGCCGCTTGATTCTCCAAGCATGGCGCATTTCGGCCTAAGCATGAAGTCCAGCCACTCCATCAGTTTGTTAGCCTCCTCATGGACCAACAAGAAGGTACCCACCTCAGTCTGCAGCTGAGCCGCTCTGGTTTCAACCACCCGCACTAGCAGGGTGAATGAATGAGGGAAGTGACTTGGAGGTGGAGAAAATCCAGTGACTTGGAGTGTCACTGGAAGAAAGAAACATGGCCCAGCAGCCCATCGCTCAAAAACGCTGTACCAGTTGAAGGTCGCAGATTCAGCCGGCGTGAGAAGGGCAAACTCCAAGCAACCGCCAAAGGAATAGCAAAAATGAATAATAGGCAAAATGTCTGAGGATCGCTCTTTGATGAAACATGCTGATACACAATGTTGATGCTCCAAAGCAGTAAGACACATTAAGAAACCACGCCATCCAGGTACATTCTCGGCTCACCTGAGCACAACGTTTTCCATCGAGTCACTCGAAAGAAGCAGCGACATGACCAAGTGCTGGGCATCAACGGGCTCAGTTGACAGGGACATGGACACCGAGGCAGCTTGTGTCCAGCGCCAGCATGACTGCAGCGAGAACAACAAAAAGGAAAACGTGCTTCTCTGCTCCTGCCATCTATGTCTATCTTCGATGTGAAATTGACATCCTGTGCACATCACCTTTCGCCTGAAAGAGCTCCGCTGGGCTCAGCCAGCCTCCTTTGAAGGCCCAAAGCGAATCCTCGACTCACCGAGTCGAGGCACTCGCCCGGCGCGGGCGATGCACAGCTCGCTCGCTCGGGGCTTCCGGGCAGAGCTCGACGTGTGGAAATCCATCGCAGGCAAGCTCGGTGGAAAGGTCCCGACCTGACTGGATCGGGGGTCGCGAGGCGAGGATCCAGGTCGCCTGTAACTAGAACGCGGATCCGGTCACTGCGGCGGAATCGTTGATAGTCTGGCTGGCGCTGGACTCCATGTAGAACAGATCTCCATATGCCATGGGGCCATAGCTATGAGCCCTTCTAAGCTATGAAAGGTCGTTCCGTTGAGATGACGACATCGATGCACTGCAGCATGGGCGGGTCCTCTCGATGCAGGTCAACACGGACTGTGTCCGCATGGCAGTGATGGTCCGTACTTGGGAAGAGTACTTGGGGTCAGTGTCTGGTACCATTGACCTATAGTGGTTGTACACTTGGGGGTATCCTCTCTATTAATCAACCAACTAAGAGTAGAAGCCCATCTATGGATAATGGCACAGCAGCGACGACGGCGGCAGACCTCATGACGGCGGTAGCAGCAGCGATGGTTTTCCTCGGTGTGATGCTCACGAAGATGGAAAGAGTTCTTCCATGAAAAGAGTCTTCCGTAGTCTTTCCGTCTTCGAACACCGCTTTGAATTCGTCCAACGTGCGGGGTGAATCCTTCAGACATCTGCGTCAACTGCCGGAAACTGCCGGAAACGAAACTACGCCATGGTGATTCAATGTGATTCATATCTCATCTTCTGCTCTTCACCGCCCCTTTCCTCTGCTCTCAAAAGATCTTCCTCCGAGCATCTCCAAGCTGAGGATAGTCTGCAGTACGGTGAAATTGGTCGCAGTAGTCATCCAGACCTTAGGTGAAGTTAGACATCGACCGGCCCAGAGGATGAAAAGCTGTCACTGAGAAGGAGACAAAGAAAGGAGCAAAAGGGAATTTCAACACTGGAAAGGAGAAGCCAACTGACTAACCAGCCAGTACCTTCATGTTTCTTCATTCACTAAGTCTTTGCTCAAATCCCTTTTTTTCTGAAGGAACATCTCTTCTCATGCAAACACATCTCTCCCTTTCTAACTCGGCTCTTCCAGCACCACCCACGCGTTATGCTTCACCGCCCGCTGTCGCGCTGTGTCGTAGGGTCCATCGTCGATGGTGCGGCAGGTCGTTCTCCACCGAGACGCCACAATTGCACGGCAGGTCCCATGCTCGACCAGTGAAGATCTCCAGCTTCTCCGCCCAGCCGTGGAAGACCTGGGAGAAGGGACCGAGCTTCCACCACCGGTCGGTGGGATTTGGAGGGCGTTGGAGAAAAAAGAAATGGAACCGGCAAAAAAGCCCAAATGGTGTGAACTTCATGGTGAAAGTGATGAAGTGATGAAAAAGTAAGGGATTCTGAACAGCAGCTGGTGAAAAACATGGGGGTTCGAAGGATGTTTCTTTTCAGCTGGCCACTGAAATCGCAACCTCAGTGGCCAGCCTCGCAGCAGGAAAAGCCTTTGATTCCACAGGCCTCAGACACGAGACTCCGACTTCTTGCCGCGTCTTTCCGCCGACCATTTCTCCGCATGGCCTGCTGGCCATCAAAGGGTTTGCAGGCCACCTTCAGATTCAGCTTGCCAAGGGCTGCATGCAAAAGCTGCGACAAAAGGATGCTAAAGCAGTTGGAAGTAGAATTCAAAAAACCGAACAAACATCCAAGATCATCCAGATCGAGGTGTTGAGCCTTCAAAACGATGGCCTCCAAAACTCTGTGTTAATACGATTCACCAAGCTCAGCAACCCCCGATTCACGCATGTCTGGATGGCCTTTCCACTTCGGAGAAAGGCCTGGCCGTCGAAGACGCTAGGCATCAACGGCCACGAATCGACGTCCACGAGCGTCGGGAGATGGTGGAGCCTCATCTCTGCAAGCCATTTGACGCCCTGGCCAGTAGGCAAACCTCAACCGAAGTGATCCATAAAGTTCCCGTTTGTCATAAAGTTCCAGCTAAAATTCCGGTTTCACCATGTTTCACATGTAGATTCTTTTGCATGCGAAGATTTCGCCAAGTCTTCAGCTTGCAAGGTGGTTTCCACAGTGATCCCGGAGACCCCTTAGATCACCGGACAGTCCGCGAACAAAGGAACAAGAAGCTACTAGTAACAAGGGCATTGCTCCTAGGAACAAAGGGCATCGCTACTAGGAGCAAGCAGCTACTAGGTGGAGGCCATCGCAAGTAGGTTGGAGGCCATCGCTGCTAGGAGCAAGAAGCTATATACCAGTATTTTACACCTCCATGCTGCTCTTTCTGCGCGAGACGTTTTTGGTGCATCTCCACATGAGCTGTCCGAAGCATTAGGCATCCTGCTTGCAAACTTGACAGCACTCGATTGCGCACATCGGTGACATTCACCTGCAAACAGTTTCAAACACAAGGTACACTGCAAGGAGACCAAGTAGAAAATGACAAAACCGATCTCCACCTCCAAGATGAGAATGGGTGCAGATCGTGCCCTCACATCCTGTCGAGGCCGCTTTGCATCTCTAAATCCTGCCAACACCTTCTCAATGCCTCTCTCTCTCTCTCATCC